TCCTTCCCTCCTTCCCTCCTTCCCTCCTTGCCTCCTTGCCTCCTTGCCTCCTTCCCTCCTTGCCTCCTTGCCTCCTTGCCTCCTTCCCTCCCTCCCTAAATCCTTGAATGGATGCTTTACCACAGACTGTAAATGATATCATGAATGCGATTACACATCAACGGAAAATTACGCTAGGTCCTACAATGTAGTCAAGGAAATACAACATTTAAACAACGTATTTACGGCTACAACATGCTGACACTGCAGCCTTCCTTGACTCCACGAGAAAGAAAGAACACTGGTTTCTTCATGGAGGGGAGGGGGTAATAGGTTCTTTACACAGGGCTGGTGTCCCAGCTTCTGAATTATACCAGAAAGAACTAGTACTTTTTTGTATATAAGTGACTAACTCAGTTATATGTACCGTCGAAAGTTAAAAGAACATTTTCCTTTTTGAATCTACTGTGTGGCCACCTTTCGCTGAATCCTTCATTCAACAAAACGCCGGCTAATGAAACAAGCTCCGGTATATTCACCCGGCTATTCAGTTAAATGTGCGCAATGTATGCTGGAACAACTTATTTTTCTCAGCGTTCTACTTTCGGTTTATCAGCCTTTTCCTATCGCTTCTTTCGATTAAGGGCTCATGTTGACCGTTCCATTTTAATAGAATCAAACTGTGCGTAGACATGCATAGACATCTGAGAAGGATTCAGTTTCGTCGAAAAATATTTACATTACATCAATACAGTGTAGAGCGTTAGTTTCGAAAAATGGGCAATCTAAAAAATAAATATCAGATCTGTTTGGTTCGAATTGTTACATCTGTTTTGCCTCTCAGCTCGTAAGAAGTCAATTTGTGCTTGGGGTCGGTATCTCCCTTTCCAATCTTCAAGGTTATTGCTCAAATAATGTGAGGACTAGTGCAGATACTGAGCTAAACATTATAAGTTCTAGTGCATGCAGGATAATTCAGAGCCAGACTAACGGATCATTTCATGTCTAAGAAACGGGTAGCTCAGAGAACAAACCTTACTTAGTGAATTCTTATTGACTGAAATAAGTGTTATTGACACATATATTTAAAAATAAAGAAACACTGCGAGGTTAATTAAGTTCCGAAAGTAACGACTCCGAAAAAAAGCAATGACCCTAGTTTCTGAGTTGTTAGCATATTGTAAAGGTAGCAGTCTTCCGAAAGGACTAGAACCCTCTCAGTGTCAAAATCGCTAAATGTAAATGACAATGTAAATGGTATCATGAATGTAGTTTATGCACTTGAACAGCAGGTTACGCTCTCTCCTACGATGTAAAGAAGAAAAGAAAAAATAAATAAATAAAGATCATTAAGTTACCTATACCCGGCTACACTCTGTTAACAAACTAGGAACCTGTTTATTGGTGGGAAGGAGGGGGTAATAGGCTTCTCTCGCAGGGCTGGTAGACCAGCTTCTGGATTATATCAGAAACTACTACTATTATTTTTTCCATGAGTAATAACTATAAGAAACAATTCCATATTAATGAAAAAGTCAGTGAAGTACTCCGTACACAGACGTTCTTTTTCAGCTCTAACTCATGGAAGCCGTAAGCAAAAGAAAAGAGGTGGGAATTGAACAAGAGGGAACCAATCTCGAGCGCTTGCCACGCGCGCTCAGTTTTTACGAAGAAAAAAACAAGGAGTGGCTGTGGACAGACTACAACTACAACTAATACTAATAATTGAAAACCCGTGAACAGTTTCTCTTGATTTCAAAGTGCATTGATTCCAAACCTGCTACCTGTACGAGTTACAAGAATGGTTTATTTCAATGTTACAGCTCTAACTTAAGATCCGGTTTCTTGTTCAAACATCATTCTATTAATGCATACGGTTTATCTGGTTTGTAAAATTCGGGAGTATATATTTTCTACCTTTGACTGATGAGATATTTAAAACTTTATAAGTGTACAAACTTTAATTTCAAACTTCATCAACTGATTCAACAATCTTCAAATTTTGGTTCTAGCTGCAGAATGTCCAAGCTACTCAAGTCTGACTAACGGTGACCGGAAAACCACGTACGTCAGTAATTCCCCTTTGTGTGACAGCAACCTCAATGGCTGGTATCGTTTCCAAGGAGCTGCGGGAACTAGAATGCCAACTTCATGTCCACCTGAAAGCAGGTGTGCGACTCACGCAGCCGGCTGGTTAAATGGTGGACATCCTACAGTGGCTGATAGCAAAGTCACCAGGCAGGTTTGCTTTCACTGGCTTTCAAACTGTTGTTGGCGGTCCACCAACATTGAAGTGAGAAACTGCGGCTCTTTCTATGTTTACCACTTC